TATATATAATGCGTAAAAAACAGTGTTAGGTAGCGGTATCCAAAGCTGAAGGTTCTAATTTAGGCATGCGTCATTGTGCATATTCGTTGTTCCGCCCTCTTCTCTACCTGCTATTAGACAAACGATAGAAGCCCAACTCGATTCATCTGTGGGCATGGATCGCCAGTAGCACCGGCTCGCTTCATCATTAGGCGCAGCTTGCACTCTACTTTTTTTTATCCTTACTTAATTAATCTGCCGTGGACATTTGCTGCTCAAAGGTGTGTTCCAGTTAAACATGAAAGATTCCCTCAGTCGCTCGAGGATGCGGACTTGGCTCATGGCGTCCAGAAAATACACAGTGGCGTACAGACCGGCAAATACTGGCTGGTCATTTTAGCACAGAAATACCCGGATGATCTTTCTGGCACCTCTGTAGAGACGATAAGGGAAAAAGATTTAAATATAACTAAACCCAATCCATGCAGAAAGAGATAGACGTAAAAAAAAATGCATACATGTTGACTTAAAGATGACTTTCTATTTCCTGCGAACGGCAAACAAATGTTCTACCACTGATCAATCGTATAGAACGGTTGGCTTTCGAAATGATTGTAAACACGCGGTAAACATGGGTTCACACGACCGACCAGGAGATATTTATGCATTTAGTCGCATATTGTAGCTTTCCTTGACTTGGTTTAATACGAATGCACAATACCGAAACACTGAGCAAACACGTCTCCTGGTAGCTCGGGACAACAGTGATACCTTTAATTTTATATATAATTCAACCTTCTTTATAACTTGCAACAACGATATTCTGGATTTGTTCCTAGTTGAGGCTAAGCAGCAACGATTTTATTTAAGTACTTAATTAGAAGTAACTAACTACTGCAACCATAATTAGCCCATCGCTCATCAAACAGATTTTTAAGAGATTGATTATTATATACAATTCTTATCATGTATTTTCATTCACCGATGGGCGGGATGCTTTGCGCGACAGTTTGAAGCTGAAAGGCTTCAAGCAAAACGTAAGCCGAGCGAGAATAAACGTTTCTTTTTTTCTCTTCTTGTTGTCATAAAATTACATGCATTGTGGTTCTCCATTTTTTTCACAATAATTTACAATGTTCCTGATCCGAAATACATTTACGTCCGGTACCGTTAAGCTGAACCCCAACACAAAACGAATTGTTTGTATGGCCCGTTTCGAAGACAGAAATCTCATGTGTCTTTAGGTTTAATAGGCGAATACGTCATAACCTTAACACTCTTGGAACTTCGGCTTCTTGGAAACGCTGGCGTTCGTGTGATTGGCCAAATATCTCGCTAAGTGATATTCCGGTAAAGTAGTAAAGCAAATAATTTCACAGCTTCAAAGACTGGGCCTGCTAAAGAAACATGCATTTAAGAGAA